TCCCTCAGATAAAACCTCCAGGGATGTGTGTGCATGTGTGTATGTGTGTTCATGCGTGTGTGTGTGTGTGTGTGTGTGTGTGTGTGTGTGTGTGTGAGCAATGCACACTAATAAGCCTGGGTCCAAGGAACAGATGACAGGGACAAAAATGTGTCTGTCATGCAGTCTTGGCTTGGGACCGCAGACAAGAGGGCAAAGCCACTGCAGCAAATCCCCCCCACCCCCCAAGCCCTCTGCTCGGTGCCTGACCCTCATCTCTCTGAGGAGACTAGAAAAAGGATCTTGGAACCCTCCTTTCCCACCCAGCTTGGCAGAGCAGCCCAAGGCTTCTAGACGCTTCCATGGAAACTGTGCAGGTAGCCGGGTCCCTCGGGATGGCATGGTTGCCACAGCACCTGTACCTATGTGAACTAGGGAAGTGTCTGCCCCTCACCTCACCCGCCAGTGTCCTGTTGCTCTGTCCCCCTGAGGACTGGCAGGGGACACGTGTGGGGACATTGCAGCCAAGGGTTTGTCTGCAGAATGTGCCAGGAGGAACAGCATGTGTGTATGCGTGTTTGTGTTTATGGTGTGTGTCTGTGTGTGTGTGTATGTGTGTGCATGTGTGCCCAAAGCACAATTCTCTGTAGCTGCCCTAAGGAGAAAACGAATTCAACACAGGCCACAAGGAAAAGAGACCTGAACTCCGGATGTCTAAGGAAATGAGGGAGCGCGTCCATTGCCAGTAATGAGCCCCAGCCTGGCCCTGGAGGTAGGTGGGGACTGAGTCTCCACCATCCTGGCTACTGAGCTGTGAAGTCTGTGGTCTCCTCAGTTTCTGGGACTGGAGCCCCACTGAGCCAACTGGGAGGCTAAGAATCAGAGGACAGTGGCTGGGGAGGAAAACTCACAAGATCCCCTTCTCAGCCCACAGCCGAGTGGTGACATGGGCTTGTCACCCCAAGTTATGTGGGAAGCTGTGATCAGGAGGCTCAATCCCAGTAGTTGGGATTACAGGAGTGTGCCACCACAGCCAGCCCTTTAAAACAACAAAAGGCCATAACTCAAGAATTTCCCTACCAGGTTGTTCCTAAGCATCCTGGGGAGGATTTTCTCAGATTTATGGTTAAAATCAACAGTTGGGGCCAACTTCTTGAAAAAAAACAAACCCTAAATTTTGGGAAAATTAAGCTTAAATTTTATATATAAATGAAAAACAAATAGCAGAAAATTACTTAAGAATGGCAGAGTGCAACACTAAAAAGAGTTAAATACACAGGCAAAATAAACACTTCAAATCTGGCCATAAAGTTGGAAGTATCTTTAAAATTGAACATAATGAAAGTCATAAAGCAGGTAGGGAGCATGGACTAAAACGAGCAACGAACAGCCAAGGGGAGGCGGCGCGCCGTCTCAGCTTCCGTGAAGGAGCCGTGGGACTGCGCCCTCCATCCCGGCAGCCACACTCGCCGGCAACGCGAGAATGCACGTTCGAGGCTCGCCAAATTCTCCAGCACTTGAAGGTGAGGGCAAAATCAAGCTTTTTAAGGTGACATTTCCTGCATTCTAAACGCTTTATGAAATGGCCTCAGGGAAAATCAGACATGATCACGACCTGTATTTGGCTAGCAAGCTGCAAGCCTCCAACTTACTTCAGTGTGAATAAGATCCAAAACTTTTTATCTTTCCAGAAAAAAGCTCCACACCATGTAGAGAGCCAAATGAATAAAACATGAGTATTCTTTAAGGAATCGCTCTATTTCTCTTTCCTATGCTGTTTATCTGGGCAGTAACACTTCCATCCTTAACCACATACACTCTTTGTTAATTGATTGCTTCTCTATTTTTTGTGGTTTGTAAAGAATGGGTGCCTGGGTCTATTCCAGGATTTAGGGGGTTAGTTTGTAAGTCTCCAAGTGGGAGGTAGTGATTCTTATCCAAATTGTTGCTATTTGTTTCTGGCTTGTTGTGGTAGGCAGATAGTTCTGCACTGCACCATCAACACACGTGCACACACACACACACACACACACACACACACACACACAACTGGCCAACTGGCTGTAGCCAGGAGAGAAACGAAGACCCTCCTGCTCACCCCATCCTGCCCCCCAGGAACTGTGCAGCTGAGCTACTGTTCTGGATGCTGTCAGGGCTCACACACCCAGAGTCGCCTAATGAAAACCTCGTGTGTTGACCCAGCACACACAGACCAGCTCAGGCTAATTCCAGCCAGACCTTGGGCTGAAGGTAAAAGGAACCCCAGAAAGATAAGGCTGTGGGGACCAGACTCACTTCTAGTCATGGCCAGGTGGATGGACAGATGAGTGGATGGATAAATAGATGGAGGAGGGAAAGGGAGGAAGGGAGGGAGGGAGGGAGGGAGGGAGGGAGGGAGGGAAGAAGGGAAGGAGGGATATATAGATGGATAAAAACTTGGAGGGGGGAGGAAAGAGGGAAGGGAAGGGAGAAGGAAGGGAAGAGGAAGAGAGAGGGAGGAGGGGAAGGAGGGGAGGAGAGGAGGAAGGAAGGAGGAGGAAGTGAAGAAGGGAAGGATGGAGGGATGGAGGAAGGACTCAGAGTAGGAGGGCTAGAGTGAAGGTGGGAAGGGGAGATATTTGGGTGGATGACGGATGGATGATTGATGGGTGAATGGTGGGTGGATGGATGATTGATGATGGGTGTTGGGTAGCTGGATGATCAATGGATGATAGATGGTAGATGCAGGATGGTGGATGGTAGATGGTGGGTGATGGATGGAAGGTGGGCAGATATGTGGACACCCCATGGTCATTGCTCCTGCTGCCCCTGATGGCTGCAGGTATAATCTCCTTACACTCAGAAGCCTAAGCCTTTTCCAAAATTCGTTTTTTTCTTTTTTGCATCATCTCCACAAAAGCATCCCCTGTGGACCCAGTCCACACAAGCTGAGATCGGGTAAAGTAGAAGCACCTGTTGCTGAAATGAGAAAGGAAGGGTATAACTCGATCTTAACTTTTTTGGGGGCAGGGGGGTCCGGTCGTGGGGCCTGAACTCTGGGCCTGGGCGCTGTCCCTCAGCTCTTCAGCTCAAGGCTAGCACTCTACCACTTGAGCCACCTTCCCAGCCCATCGATCTTAACTTTTTTTGGGGGGGGGGGTCCGGTCGTGGGGCCTGAACTCTGGGCCTGGACGCTGTCCTTCAGCTCTTCAGCTCAAGGCTAGCACTCTACCACTTGAGCCACCTTCCCAGCCCATTGATCTTAACTTTTTAACAGAACAGCTCCAAGGGCCCCAGTATGAGAGGGGTCCTAAAAAGCATTCACCAAGGTGGGCACTTGAGGCCCACACCCGGAATCCCAGCTACGTGGCACTGGAGACCCACACCCACAATCCCAGCTACGTGTCAGGCTGAGGTTGGACAGACAGCAATTCAAGCCCAGAGGGGAGAAAAGCTTTCAAGACATCCCAACTATCTGCTGAGTGCAGGGGTGCACGCCTGTCGTTCTAAGCTAAAGAACCAATTCTAACAAGAGCCAAGTCCACTCTGGCCTGCAGAGACACACGGTTGTCAGAGTCGGGAGGTCAAGTCCAGGCTGCAGAGCCGTCCTGCTATAACCTGAGCACGGAGCGGTACCACTGTACTTGGCAGATTGGCGAGGCCTTCATCATCACAGAGTTGCTGTCCTTCAGATAAACCCACAGACAACGGGAAAGGAAGGCTCATGCCATGTACAGGTCAGCATGGCATGCATGGATCAGTGTGCCATGCACAAGCCAGTGTGCCACGCGTGGGTCAACAGGCCACACACGGGTCAGCGTGCCATGTGCAGGTCGGCATGCTATACATGGATCAGCATGCGCCATGCTCAGGCCAGTGTGCCACACAAGGGTCAGTGTGCCACATGCAGGTCAGCGGGCCATGCACAGGCTGCCATGGGCAGGTCAGTGTGCCATGCATGGGTCAGCAGGCCACACACCCTTCTCCCCACCACAGCCCAGTCTCATCCCCCGAGATGTGCCGGCCCTGCCTTCTAGTTCCCAACACACATCATGCTCCTCCCAAGCCAAACCATGGTCCTGGCCTCCGAGCATCCGAGCTGCTTGCACAGCAGGAGGAGCTGTGTTTACTAAAGGAGAGCCCCACGCTTGGCGCTTACCCAAGCCAGGGTTGAAATGCCAAGAGGTGCACACCTGGTTTGGGACAGATCTTAAGTCTCTTAGAGTAAGACCCAGGCACAGTGGCTCACACCTATAATCCTGGCTACTCGGGAGGCTGAGGTCTCACAGTTTGAAGGCAGCTGTAGCAGGAAAACCTGTGAGGGTCTCATCTCCAATGAACCACCAATAAACCAAAAGTAACATGGTGAAAAGTTGTAGAATACCAGCAAAAGCTGTGGGACAGTGCAAGGTCCTGAGTTCAATCCCAGCACTAGCACATACCCACACACATATACACAAAAGAATTTCAGAGCAAGAAAGGATCTTAAGGCTTTCCTAAGGAAGCCAAGCATGAAGGGACATGCCTGTAATCCCAGCTACTCAGGGGCAGAGGTGGGACAAGCACCCTCTGAGGATAACCAAGGTACAGAAGCAAGACCCATCGGGAAATTGAGTTACAAGAAACAGGACTGAGTCATCATTCAAGTAGAGGGCTTGCCTGGCTTGAGCTCATTGTGCCATAAAGGAAAGAGAGGAAGGGAAGGGAGGAGAGGAGGGGAGGGGAGGGGAGGGGAGGGGAGAGGAGGGGAGGGGAGGGGAGGGGAGGGGAGGGGAGGGGAGGGGAGGGGAGGGGAGGGGAGGGGAGGAAGGGAGCAGGTAGGAGCCAATGGCTCCACAGCCTGACTAGCACCTTGGTCACCCCATTTCTCTAACAGTTCTGAAATCCCTACCGCAGGCTGGGACTCTGAGGACTGTTGTGGAAAATTCTGCTCCAAGTTTCCATCCCACCCAGGGCCGATTGAGGCAGGAGCTGAGCCCTGGACCCCACACCACCCGCTGCCCCGCATCCCCCCCCCCGCCCCGTCCCCCGCCCCTGCTCACCGTCCATGTCCAGGCGCTGCATGATGATGGCCAGCTCCACCTCGCTCGGCATGTACCCCAGCGAGCGCATGGCCATGCCCAGCTCCTGCTTGGAGATGAAGCCGTTCCCATCTCGGTCCAGAACACGGAAGGCCTCCCTGATTTCTGGAAGGAAAGACAGAGTCCTGCGGTCACACGGCTGTGCTCATGCCCAAAAATACTTGGCGATGGCCTAGAGAAAGCCAGGCACCCACAGCGATGCCTCCGAAGACTCCCAGCAGGCCAGAGAGCCCAAAGAAAGAAAAATGCAAGGACAGGAAATAGGGAGTGGAGGGAGAGGAGGGGCAGGTGGGACCGGACGGGGGCCCAGCAGCCGTTGTTTCTGCCCGAGGGGGAGAAACAGGATGGGCAGTGCGTCCAGGCTCCTGTGTTCAGGGCTGGGTGCAGAGCTTTCCTGACCTCGGTGGGTCCTGATGCTTCTAGTTCCCCCCTGACTGACAGCGGTGAGCGACCTCAGGTCAGAGACAGCATCAGGATGCTGGAAGCATCTTGGGCTCCCAGTCCAGCAGAAACCCCATTCTGTTACCAGAAAGACCCGGTTTACCTCTTGCCACAGGTCAGCTGCAGAGCCCCCCACCCCCACTCCGGTCCCTTCCTCCAGGCCTTGCAGCTCAGTGTTGCCAGCCCCACTGCACAGTGCTCACCAGACTCCATGCAGGGGCTGAGGGGGAGCAGAGGCCAGAGCTTGAGGGAAGCTCCCCTGACCTTCCATGGCTTTGCCTGCCCCCCCCACCGCCCCACACAGGCCCAGGTGTGGTGGCTGCCAGGGCCCACTGCCTGGCATAGCATTCCATGTCATGGGTTGAAAACAACCCATCAGGCACCACCAGGAACCCTTCCTGCACTCCTCCCAGGAGCCCCAGCCATGTGGCCCTGTCATCCACGCCAAGTCCTGGCGTTGCTCCAGTGACTTGCTCAGGACCTGTTACCCGGACCCAAAGGCCCAGCGGCCCACCTCGGTCAGGACCACAGGTCCAGAGTCCCATGGCTACATCAGGGTAGGCACCCTAGGGAGCCTAGGCTGGGGCATGTGTTCTTTCCTGAGACAGCTTCTGGCAACTCCCCATTCCTTGGCCTCATCCCTGCCCTTCTGCTCCAGCTCTACTGTCCCTCTTCTGCCTGCTTCCCTCCCTCCCTCTTGTGGGGCCTTGGGGACCACTGTGCACCCACGACAGTGGCCCCCATCTCAAAAGCCTCCATCACATCCCTGAAACCATCTTTCCAAGGTAATGTTTACGTGTTCCAGGGATCCAGACTCTTGTCTTCATTCTTGTTGTGTTTCTCCCCAAGATTCTTCTGCTCTCCCTCCCACCTGAACAACCTCCCATCCCTGGAAGAGCAGATCAAGGACACGAACTCCACAAGAACATGCTTGGCTCCCCACTGCCCAGTTGCTGCCCCAGAAGTGGCCCCCACGGAATGTGTCTCCACCATGACACCGGAAGGCACCTAGTAGGCAAGGGTCTGGTGGCACCAGCGTCTCACATTTACAGCAAAGTACTGTCGGGGCTCTTGCACACCGAACCCTGAGTGTGTGGGCCACATGTGCCTGTGGATGGGGGGGGGGTGGGCAGAGCCAGAAGTGTCCATGTGCCAGTATGTGAGAAGAACCTGAGCTGGCCGCCGGGGTCCTCAGAGCCCGAACTGACCGCTGGGTCTCCACAGCTGAGCTGGCTGCCTGGGTCCTCTGGCCTTCAAGCCGCTCCATCCCCTGCAGTGGCAGACACCAGAGGTCTTTAAGAGGAGGACAGGAGGCCCCGATTCTCCCTGACCGTTCACCTGCTGCCTGGACTCCTTCCTCCCCCATCAGTTGAGTAAGAACACGTGGCAGCCCGTGCCCATGGGGACATCTGTCTTCATTTCAGGTTTCGCCCAGTCACAAAGCATGCCGAAGGGTCTGGGAAGTGTCCTATGTCTTCCTAGCCAGTCCCAGTACCCTGAGAAAGCTGGAAGCCACTGCCCAGCTGGAGGGCATGGCACTGTCACCATGGCCCCACGCAAGCCAGCTTCAGGGCCCTGCAGGACACAGAGCAGATTCCCCACAAACTCTGTGAGCCTGTGCCTCCCTGGATGGCCCAGTCCATATGGGGGGGCAACCTCATGCTCCCCATCTGAGACACAGTGAGGTTTGATCTCTTTCTAACAGCTGCAAGTTTGCTTTGGGGCTGGGACAGAGGAGAACATGCCAGATAAGGGCACATCCACGGCTGGGGTCCTGTGTGGCTGGCAGATGGTGTCACGTCCACAGCTGGGGTCCCCCCATGGCCAACAGATAGGGCTTCAGTCTCTGTGTCCTAACTGTGGGCCCCCACAGGGTAAATGCCCTGTGTTTGCGTAGACATGTCAGTGCCCGGCTTCCAGGAGAGAGCGAGACAGACAGAGAGATGGAGACAGAGACAGTCTGTCTGTTGAAGTAGACACTAACTTTGTTTTCTTTTAGAACAGCAGACAAGGAAGAAAACCAAGGTACCAGTCTAGGAAGCCATGCTGAGAGAGCATGACAGAGGCTCCGTCTTTCTAGGTCAAGGAGACCCCAGCACACCCCAGGCTTAGCAGCAGGAGAGGGTCTTGCAGGCCGGAGACACAGATGTGTGAGCTTCTCATTTTACTAACAGCAGCACAAGGTGTGATACTATGCCCAGAAAACCAGCAGGGGGTGGGGGGTAGGCATGCCCTCTCCTGGCTGCAGCCCACGAGGGACACTCAGAGAGGAGAGGCAGATCCAGCCTTCAGAAACGTGATGCCAGCGATACCCTGTGCTTATCCTGCCTTTTGTGAAGCCCCTTGTGCTTTGGTGACGTGAGCCTGCTCTGCTCTTGGTCTTTTGCTCAAGTGTACTTTTCAGTCTCTTGAGACACGTGACTCCTTTCTCAGCATGACAGATTCCTTTCCCACGCGTCGGCTGAAGTTCAGACGCCAGCCCAAGTCAGTGTCAGTTGACTAATAATCTAGCTTTGAAGATCCGCAGAAACGTACAGTACAGTTTGCTACTTAAAATTAGTACTGAGGGGGCTGGGCAGCATAGCATATGCCCGCCATCCCACCCAACTACTCAGGAGGCAGAGGTAGGAGGATTGGGTTTGGATGCCAGCCTGGACAAATGCATGAGATCACATCTGAGAGATAAACTTAAGGTAAAAAGGGCCTGGAGCCTTGCTCAAGTGGTAGAGCACGAGGCCCTGAGGTCCGTGTCACCACCAGTGCCAAAGGACAATCAGTAATGAGTAACAGTAATTTCTACTAACTCCATCCCTGTTAGACACAAAATCCATTTATTCTCCACTGAGGATTCAAAATCTATTAATTCTCCACTGGAAGATACAAAACCCATTTATTCTCCACTGAAGTGTATCCGTAGGAATAATGCGAGTTTTATTCTTGTTTTAATAGGCGACGGGTCCGTTAATGAAAAAGATGATGGGTTCTGTTGATAGAGATCACAGAGAAGCCACAAAACTGGAGAGATGAAGTTCAGCGAGACAATTATTAAAAACCTAGCCCAGAAAATGGAAGGCGCAGCCCTGGAGGTCTTTATTGAGAGGAGACAGACAACATGGCTGAAGAGGGACCGGGGCTGGCGAAGTTCAAAGAGCCAGAGCGTGGCATGACGGGATGCAGCGTGCTGGGATCAGCTGGCCAAGGCTCTGCCCTCTGGCCTCCACCAGGCAAGCCAGGAATTAGTGGAGCATGTGTGTGTCCACCTCCGGCCACCGCCTTTTTCTAAATAAAGTTTAATGAAGCATGGCCATTCCTCTACACACTGTATGGGTTGCTTGCTGTCTAGTTCTGTGCACACCGCATGTGTGGATGGACCTTCTTGGTGTAGACTCTGGCCCACATGAACACTCTGGCTTTGGAGGCTGAGGCCAGTGGCACTTGATATAGACCACGTGGGGGGGATGGGGGGGGGGTCTTGGTGATTTTAAATTAAAAAGAACCAGATCCATTTTTAAATAAAGAACCCTGACAGCGAGGTGACTAAAGCTAGTGTGATCATTCTCGAGTGGCTGCCTTCCTTTTGTTTCAGTTTTGCTATTTGTGGGGTTTTATTGGGGGGGGGAGGCATGCCTTTTTTACATACTTTTTTTTTTGGTAGGTCCTGGGGCTTAAACTCTGGGTGCTGTCCCTCAGCTCTTCAGCTCAAGGCAAGCTCTCTACCACTTGAGCTGCAGCACCACTATTGGTTTTCTGATGGTTCATAAGAGTCTCATGGACTTTTCTGCCCAGGCCGGCTTTGAACCATGATCCTCAGATTTCAGCCTCATGAGTAGCTAGGATTACAGGCATGAGCCACCAGCGCCTGGCTGCATACATGTTTTTAAAGGACCTCTAACCGATCTGAGTGGCCAGAGACCCCAGATGAGAATTCAGAGGGGCCCCAGAGGTAGGGCCACAGGAAGAGGAAGGAGAACCAAACCAAGGGCAGGAAGGGCTGGTGGCAGGGGAGGGGAGGTGGAGAGGGAGGGCGTGCACAGTGCAGCCTCATCACACACTCCATTCAGCAACCTGGCTTTGTCTGCTGGCACAGTTTCAAAGGACTGGTGAAGCTGCCCTCCAGGACCACTGCCCTAAATGCCAACTCACTGTGCTTCTGCCTGTTCCAAGGTCCCCAAGCGAGGGACCCCGGCCCCCAGGAGGGGGGGCCTGAGAGACCTGAGGTCCCCAAGGGAGGGACCCTGGCCCTGAGGCCGGTCCTGCATCCATGCTTCTGTTATCAGAAGTCTTTTTTCAGCAAAGGATTTTAGAAAGCTTAAGAAAGCTTAAAGAACTGAAGATTTACTCAGAGGGAATGAAAGACTCTCTGGAGTTAAGGAGAGCAGAAATTCACCGTGAAAAACCCTGGAGGTGGACTAAGACTTCAGAGCAGGGACGGGCTGAGAGTCAAAGTCAGGGGGGCTGGGGTGAGGGGACAGAGCAGGGGGTGAGGGGGAAGGGAGGCTGGGCACTCGAGGCCATGGACTGGAGGCTGTGCACATGGAGGCAGGGAAAGGAGGCTGTGGAGTGGAGGCAGGGAAGAGAGGCTGTGACTGGAGGCAAAGAAGGAAGGCTGTGCACTGGAGGCTTACAGTGAGGCAGGGAAGGGAGGCTGTGCAGTGGAGGCAGGG